TTAATTAATAAAAATAAAGAAAATAATTATTGAATACATATTTAGAGGAAACTACCTTACTAATAAAGCTTCATGAGTATTGGTGTTATCTTGATTAGATCGTAATTAACCCTCCTACTCTCTTAATAATGTATCTAATTATATGGTGTTTTTTAAAGAAGTAATAATAAAAAATAAATAAAAATATATGTAAAAACTACTATGTGAGTTAAGTCACTTCTAGTAAATCTTTTTGGATATTAACGTTATCTTGATTAGATCGTAATTAACCATGCTCCTCTCTTGATTTAATAACTAGTTACAAAGTTTATTTAAAAATTATATCATGAAAAAAAAAATTATTCATTGAATTTTATTATAAAATTATTTCATTGCACAGTATAATTTTGAGATCGTCACAAAGTGACAAATGTGATAAAACAAAATTCCACCATACTTTTATATAGAGAGAAATATAAGAATGAATCCATTCTATTTTCTCAATTTTACATGAAACTTATCAAGAACTAGGGAAAAACTAAAAGAATATCAGAATCTTGATGCGAATGAATTGTGGATTGTTCAAACTTTTTTTTCAGAACTTTATTGGGACTGGACTGGAGAGAGGTGATTAAATTATGTTCACCTTCATAAGATTCTTCATCATAATAACCAACAAATTATCAATATTTAAGAAAGCAAGTTTACAATAGAATGGATCCATTAGACAGTTATCATATCACATTTGTAGAGAAATATAAGCATGAATCTGCTTTATTTTACATGTAATAAAAAGAAATTCCATGTTAATCTTTATACAACAAGAACTGGAGAAAAGCTAAAAGAATAAATTGTGGAAATCAACTTTTTTTTTTAGGACTTTATTGAGACTGGAACTGAAAGAAGGTAATTAAATTATATTCACATCCATAAGAGATAATTGATGATTTTAAAATAATAATTCTAATTATATTATTCAAAAACCTTATTATGTCTGCTCAACTGTTATATTATTATCTTTCAACAAATTATTATATTTTTTAAATATAATAATAATAAAGTTAATAACACTAAAGAAAATATATGATAATTATAGTGATAAATTATAATTTACCAAATTATAATGCTTCAGACTTCAATAGGTAATAAATCAATTTAGTTGTATCTCACCATTCTCTTGCATTTAACCCATAATGTGAATGTGGTTTTATTTCACCAAAGATTTTACAATAAAACAAGGCATTTTGCCATTTTAAATTTCTATAATTATTATAGACCAGTATGTAATGATTAATTTACTGTATAATGTAACATACCAAAAATCAAAACCATTTTATGCCTTTTTCTTGTTGGCCATATTGCTGACAAAGATGTATATAATCATGTGATAATTTTAATCTACAGTACAGGGGACTGATTGGGCAAAAACCAGTTCAGTCAGTCCCCTATCCAAAATTATAAATTGGTTAGTATCAGAGAAACAGAGAATTTAGGAAAATGATTATACACTATTTTACAACTTTCCTCTTAACATCAGAGTCCGAATGCAATTTCAGGGCCACCAACCCTGCTCTGAATTGCGACCTCCTGGTGCTTGAAATGAGTTGCAGATTCTCTTAATATTTCTCCAGAGTTGTGATTTGGTCACAGAGCCATCCTTACCAAGAGTATGATCGTTGCAGGTGACTTTTTGGCTAGTGTGGCAGCCTTCTTTGGCCTGGTGCTGTGAGGGAAGATTAGTGAAAGTGTTATTGACAATTGGTGCAGTCTCAGTAAACTCCAGGGCCATGTTACCTCCCCCTAGAATTCGGTTGCATCATTGTATCATCGGGGGGTGCAAGTCAGATTAGCCTTTGTACATTAGGAATGTGTGTGAATGATTGTAAAGTGTTCAGGTAGTGTGCATGCTTCAACACCTATAAAATTTCCAATATTCAAACATTGCATATTTGAATTGTTTCAATGGTGTGTTGCCTTGACATCTTGTAATTATAATATTATTAATATTGATTGTGAAAAGCAAAATACACAATCTTGATAATTACCCAGCAATGATCTGCTCTAAGGATACCGGCTGCAACTTTTGATGATGGTTGCTACCATCTTTGCATCATATAAAAATGATTGCAACCACCTTTACAACCATTTTGTTTCCTTTTTTGGATTGCGACATGGAACACTAATCTGCTCTGTGTTTTGATTCCAATTAATATATTTATAATAACCAAAAAAGACAATAAATATATATCAATACAAGTAAAAAATAGTACCTCTGTTATTAACATGGCTTCTTTAGGAGATTCGCGTTTTGTCACCTTGGACTCTGTCAAAAAATAAATTGTTTCTCCAAGGAAAAAAAAATCAATTTGCGTCTGTTGCCTAAAAAAAATTGTGCAACACCAAGTGCCAATAATATGATGCATTTGTCAATCAAATCATTCTTTTTTTCTTTTTAAACAAAATGTCTGCTGTCACTGACAAAAAAAAGAAGAAATTGAGAAAAAAGTGTAGCAGATGATCATGGGCAAGTGTTTTAAGAATAATGGTGGTGGTTATCGCCACTTGTCATCACTCTAGTTTATTAAAAAGAATGTTTATCACTACTTGTCATCATCCTAGTTACATTGTACACTCACTGGACAAAAATATATGAACATTTGTCGATCATCAAAAATAATCAAGTGACTTTGACATAATAAAACTAAATATTTTATTAACCTAATTGATCCTATTTATTAAGTAGAAATCCTTTTTCATATCAAATTCTATAACATACTGAAGTTTCATTGCATATAAATAAAAATTGATTGTTATATGAACCTTAAAAGATAAATGAAAAATTTTCAAAAATTTTTAAAAAATCTTAATCTCAAAAATTGACCACAATGGCAAGTTTTAATGTTTCTTATGGAATAAGTAAAAAATGATCGCAATGTTTGGATTTAGTTGGTTACGAATTTATAGAACATTTGGTGAATTAATTGTTGAGAAATTATACAACGGAGTAAAAAATTTGAATTTTGAAAATCCAAAAAAAAATTTGTAAAACTTTAAGTTACATCTGTTAAACAAACATTATCTCTTTTTTTTTTTCTTTTTTGAAAAATTATTTATAAAATGCCTAAAGCTACTCAATTAACTGAATTTGAACGTGGAGAAATTATTGGATTGAGAAAAGCCAACTTTACATATGATCAGATAGCTGAAATATTAAAGAGATCAAAAGCAACTGTTCATAATATTATCAATGATTATTTTAAAAAAAATAAAACTTCTGCAGTCTCAAGACCTGAAAGACCAAAGAAATTAACAGACCATGACACTAGACAAGTTTTAAAAATTGTTAGAAAAAATCCTAAAACAACCATTATTGAAGTATGCAACGAACTTAAGGAATCAAACATTAACATAAGTGAAAAAACTGTAAGGTGAACATTACATGATAAAAATATGTATGGAAGAAAGGCTGTAAAAAAGCCTCTTATCTCTGATGTAAATAGGAAAAAGAGATTATACTGGTGTCATGCAAGGAAAAATTGGAGTAATGAATGGGATAAAATAATATTTAGTGATGAAAGCAGGTTTGAATTGTTTCAAAACGATTCAAATGATTGGGTCTGGAGGAAACCAGGGGAAAAGTAGCATAGTGGACATTTGATTTCATTGGCTGAATTATGTGACGATCTCCCTTCCAGATATCACGCAAAAAATTAAATTTTATTGGCTTGAAGATCGTTACGCAAATTTGAAAAACCAATATTAATATCGGAGGGAAGGAAATTTAGTTCCAAATTGATAAAAATAAAATGTTTATAATAAATAAAAAATTAATATAGTATTTCTTTATTGAATGTTTTAATACATAGGCTTGGTTTTTTGTTATAAAGTCTAATATATTATTTACTTTTCAACTTTTCATTGACTTCATCAAATCAACACTTTACCTTTGATCATGAATTGTCATCCATTATATAATACTATACATATATATCTGACATTTCCTTATAGATTACTTTGCTTATTATAAATATGCTTATCTACTTTTCATATATAGTTGAAATCTATAGACACGGCACCAACGAACATAACATTAAACAGAAACTGCAAACCGCATACACGCTCTTCACAAGTTCTTCTCAGATTTGTATCGGATTTGCAAGACATCCTTTCATGATAAATATGAACACCTTTCTCCAGAATCATGATCATATTTATCATGGTCATTTGGTATTTAATAATGGTTGAGTATTTAGAGCCTAAAGTGACTAAATGAGATTGATTAACATATTCCATTCAATACAAATATGATTTGCATTATAAACCCAATGGAATACTTTTATGTGACTAATAGGTCACAAAAAAGTCAAAAGGTAGTAATAGTCTTGTCAAAATAACTGACAATTAATTAAAAAGGAATAAAATTTATTATATATGAAGAAATAATAAATGTAACAGTTTTACTGAATGAAATGTTGATTTTTTAGAAATAGGTCGTGCTTGTGGTTGATCCAAAAGAAAAACTTGCCGAGTTTCTCTCTAAACAAAAAAAATCTATTTTCTCGATGGTACAATTCGAAGCAATGGATGATGGGGGCAATAAAAAATATGAGCAGATGAGAACCATATCTAACAAAAGAACTTTCCATTGCTGGGATCATTCATATCCTTTTGTCAATAAACATATCTCAATATTCAGAAAATATTAGAAATCATCTAATAAGTAGTTCATGATAATATCAAAAGAATGCCATAGTGGAGAAAAACCAAGATGATAATTCACGTTGGAACACGAGGTCGAGTTTGTTTTTCAAAAGCCAAAGTAACAATATATATGTATTTTCATTATATTATATTTACCTAAATATATAGTATTTTCGAAGTTTAATTACAAAAAATTTACAACTATAATAATATTCAAAATTAAATTGTAAAATATGAAACAATTGTCGATATTGAACCTCATTAATATAACAAATCAAATGTAGATGTAGACAACTAGTAAAAAATTATATATAAAATTGTTATGCTATTTCTTTTATTCGTCGTTCTACTTCTGGTGAAACTTGAGTGTCATCTTCATATCCTTCCAAAGCGTCCAAACTTACTACAGTAGCATCTAATGCTAATCCACTCCACAATAATTTATTGAAATAACTATTCAACTTAAACCAGAAGGTGATTTCTAAATAAAGTAGAAGATGTGAAAATAATACTAGGGTAGTGAAAAGACTGTAGAATATCCAAACGTAATTATTCCGTTTATGTTGTTCATGGTGATCAACTTGATCATTGTATTTATATCTTTGCAAAAATCCTTTCAAAGCATTTTTACTTTTCATTTCAAGGCTATACTTAACTATTCCTAACGAACCAACTAATGATATTATTAAAAAAATGATGATCCATGATAACATCTCAGACGTGACTTTATCATAATTTTTGCCCAGAAAAGCTAAAACTAAGCATGTTTTGAGAGGTATATATATTATATATATGGGAATTATTAAATAATCTATCTGCCTATTATTATTACTAAAATAAAAAATGTAAATTTAATAAGTTGCTTGCTCATTATATACAGCAGCAGCAGATCTTGTCACAATGAATCATAATTAAATTCGCGCTATGACGGATTTAAAATTTTTTGCTTCACATATAAAATCCATTAGCATCCGTTGTGACAAGGTTTGACTGTATTAATATTAGTCTTATAAACTAAAATTGAAAAATCAAAATACCTATTGCTGTTATCTTCCTTGGAATTTTTTTCGAGATTAGTAGCTTCAATTTCCTTATTTTCTTCTAATTGATTAATTTCAATTCCCATATCATTTTCTTTAATTTCCTCATTTTCTTTTAAATTATATATTCCTGCTCTTATTCGGGGTTTAGTTCTAACTTCTTCTTCAACTATTACAATTATTAAGAGCACGAAACTTATAACACTATAGCATAGAAACATTATCGTCCAAGTAGTATTATTCTCAACCTTGCTTTCAAGAACCAAAAAAGAGTAAATTACTATGAATGTTACATATACATTTACAAAAGATCTTACAATAAGCCTCGTAACTAATGCGAAGCGTCTGGCTCCTAAATCTTTCGAGGAAGAAAGATAAATAAATAACGGCAAAAATAATGATAACAACGTATCAAGTAAGTTGTCTCCCCGAAAATCTTCATTATCAATAAACGGTGCTGCTTTCGTGTTGACAATAAATAGATTGACTTCTAAAAGTATCAAGAGTTTTTTCATGATTCAATAATTCAAAGGAAAATTGGTATTCAAATTCTATCGCCGTTTCATTTATAAATGTTTCCGTCATTATCATTATCACCGTCATTATCACCATCATTGACTCTTTTGGAAGTGTATCACAATTCCTCAAATGGTTATTTAAAGAATAAACTTTTGTAATAAAAAATGTCAGCTAATTTTTCCAGAGAGTAATTATTTATAATTTCTTCGGCTTTTAATTCATTTTCTTGATTTATTCTCATATCAAGTGGTACATATTGTTACATGCTTAATCAAGTCTTATAAAAATATTTGTGCAAGAGGAAGTTGCACAGATGATTAATAATTGAAAAAAAATGTGACAAAAACGAGTGTGTGATCACTGCTAAAAATAGAAATTTCGGCCGATCTATAAAACCGAAAATTTTACGTGTTTCGCTCTTTAATAATAATATCCAAAAGGAAGAACTATTTTTAATTCTAATTTGACTCTCAAGTCTATTTATTTATCAACTTCGGT